CTCTCTCTCTCTCTCTCTCTCTCTCTCTCTCTCTCTCTCTCTCTCTCTTTCTCTTAACACATATTCCTAAACACATAAATACAACTATTTCAGTCTGTATTAACCAGTGTTTCTCAACCTTCCTAATGCTGTGACCCTTTAATACAGTTCCTCATGTTATGGTGACCCCTTACAACTACAAAATTATTTCGTTGCTACATCATAACTGCAATTTTGCTACCATAATAAATTGTAATATGAATATCTAATATGTGACCCCAAAGGGGTCATGACCCATAGATTGAGAACCGCTAGTATAAATCCTTTTGAACATAGCTGTCTTCCTGCGTGAAATGAAAACTTCCATTCCTGGAAGAACTTGGCCATAGGGTGAAGCTCTGGGCTGCCGGAGACTTTGTTCAGCTGTGCGTGTAACTCGTAAACTGCATTGCATTGTTTTCTGAGCCAAAGAAAACAAATTCACCCCTGAATTTCCCTTTACTGATCCCTCTCATAGGCTGGTTTATGCCAATAATCTCATGTTATATGCCAGAAAGGACTTTACAACACTTTGCTCCCAGATCAGTCATGGTGAGAGTGGATTCAATCATCTCCCCTTTCAATAAATTTCTGTCTCCGCCCTACAGCCAGCCAAATGGCTCAGCTTGGCTCACCCCAAGACAGGGAGGGTTCCGGTGGGGTATTTGGTGTGTCACTCATCAAACAAAGGTAAGATATGTAGAAACGTAAGATTACAACGATGGGGAGCCCAAGAGGATCACATCGATGAGGGGCTCAGTCTTGCTGTGGTCACTGAGAAAACACACAGAGCATGGTCCACATAGAGGATGGGGAAGCAGGTGAGGTGGGGTACCCACCCCTGGCCCTCAGCAGTTGAGACTTAATCTGGGAGGCATTGATTTGTCTGTGTTTTTGTGGTACCACCCTAGATATCAATGACTGCTTGAGGTAGAATGCTGTCAAGTCTCAGGTCGACTCAAAAGTGTCCAAGGTGTTTTGGGACTGAGACATTGTCAGCATCTGATAGTCTGGCAGTGCCATGGACAAGGTCGTACATGAAATCAATATTATCATAACAAAGAGAGATCTGCATTGGTAGGAATTAAACAAATACTATGATGTCAAAGAGATGTACACTCCCAAGCTCATTGCTGCTTGTGCACTGTGAATGCCAAGATACAGAACGGGCCCAACCATTCATTGGTAGAGGACTGACAAGGAAAATATAGTATGTATACATTATGGGGCACTAGTGACAAAGAAGACACAGTTCTGTCCTTCGCGGGATGTGGGTGGAGCTGGAGTCTATAGAGCCAACTGACATAAGCCTGGCATTGGAAGCTGGGCCTCATCATCTCTCATCCATCACAGCTAACATGTAAAACGTGCAATACCCGTGATGAGGAAAGGCAAGGAAGAGGGAGATAGATGCTGATTGGATGAGGAGAACCAAAATAAAATTAGCATGAGAAATTAGTTCTACTTCGACAGGACAGTGAGGTCACTGTGCTCCATAACTGTTTATGGTATATTTTAGAAGAACTCGAAGAGTCTGAAGGGTCCCGAGAGAGAAACGACAAATACAATGCTCATTACTGTTCCTCAAAAATAGGTACGACTACGATGAATAGACTAAAAGTAGAAACAGCATCACCAACCCTGTCCTTGTCTCTCAGACGAGACAGGCTATAAACAAAGACACAAACATGCCCCAAGTGTGGGCGAACTTGTAATCTCAGCACTCAGGAAAGCTCAAGCACAGCCTTAGCTACTGTGTGTGACTCTGTCTGGAAAGAGAAAAAGGAGAAAAAGAAAGACACAGAGAATAATTGTGATGGATGGTATGTAGGAGATGCCCAAGGTAGGCAGGCACACAAGGAAGAGCCAGGAGCTTGACTTTCTGGGGATTAACATTCTTTTGAATTCTAAACACAGAGAGCCCTGATTAGCATGACTTATTGAGTGAATGCTGGAAGTGAGCGTTTTTTAATTGGGTGTCAGGACAAGTTCCTGGAAGTTTTTGTGTTCATCCTAATCTTTCTAAGAGTCATAGAAGTATGAACTAAGACACTAGGCAACAAGCTAATTCTGGAACTTTCTGGAAGTCCTGGCAGCTTGAAACCATGCCTACACTGTTCCTCTTGTAGAGTCTGGACCGTTCCAGGGAAGTAGTTTACACAGGAATGAATCTTAACAATCACTTCATATTTATACACAAAAATACAAGTTTTATAGCTGGATATGACTTTTTAATTGTAAACAGCAATTATAGGTTTACTGGATAACATATGAGGTAAATGCACAAAATATTTGTTAATTGATTTACGTGCAAACATGTGACGCGTATTTATATAGTAAAAATCATTCCAGAGTAAACATAACCGCTGGAGTGGAGCCTCATCTCATAGGTATTTTGCGTTCCTCGTTTGGTAAGCCTTTGACGGTTTGCTTCCTGTTCCCGACAGATCTGCAGATCCTCTGTACTAAAGCTGCAAAAAACGCAGAGGTGTGGGTGTCCCTGATACACTACCAGATCAGACACACTACCAGATCAGATGCACCCAGCCAGCTAGTGAGGAAAAAAAAATCCAGGCACAAAAACCCCTTCCGTTCTTTGGTACTAATTGTCGATTTGGGAATACGTGCAGGTTCCCAGGCTTCCTGTCGCTTCCATGTGAGTATTCATAGATAGATCACATAGAGCTATGTTGAGATCATTTGTGGGTAGAGAAGCACACATAAGTGTACATTTTTCATACTCGAAGTCATATAATATGTGATTTTCTTTCTTTCCTTTTCTTTTGTTAAGATCACTTTCTGAGCATTACAATTTTCATGGGAGTTTGGAAGCTGAATGTCATTCAGTGACAGTACACTGCGTAGTATGTGTTCAAGCCCAATTCTACTAATGAAAGGTAAGTCACAGACGTTAAACCTGGGACAAAAGGCTGAGGTGTCTATTTAACACATCAAAGCAGACATGGCCGCCAGGTTCTCCTTGCATCCCTCTGTCCCTACCTGTTAGAGGGTCCTCCTGGCTGGCATAAGCTGTCCCCTACCCTAAACTTATCCAAACCGGTGGTTGGTCTAGGCTGCTCTTTCCCTATAATCCAAACATGTTGCTTATCTGCTCTCTTTGTACTTTTGGACCTCCTGGCTGCTGCACCTGGTCCCCCCTTCTCTCCCTATGTGGCTCAGGGTCATGTCCACCCACACAACTGACCCAGATGTCTCTGCCTCTGGCTATGCTCTCCCACATGTCTGTAATAAACGGTCTCCTTCACTATACCTAGGACCAATCATGCTTCCTCTTCTCTCCTCTCCTCTCCTCTCCTCTCCTCTCCTCTCCTCTCCTCTCCTCTCCTCTCCTCTTTCTTTCTTTCTTTCTTCCTTCCTTTCTTTCTTCCTTTCTTTTTATACAGCCTCCAGGTCTGTGTAAATGTGACCAGAACTGGGACTTTTGAGAGTAATATAAGTCAAAGTATAAAATAATTGTTTGGTATTAGACTTATAGAATTGTAAATTTCTGGGCCAAGGGAACAAACACTTTTAAGGCTTTTAATTAATGTCACAAAATTACTGTCTGGAAATGTAAAGTGTGAATATGAATTTAAAAACATAGGGCCTGCTGTGGAATTACAGGTGTATAGCACTGAAGGAAAGAAGGAAGGAAGGAAGGAAGGAAGGAAGGAAGGAAGGAAGGAAGGAA